TCCTCGAGAGCCTGACGAAGCTGATCTTCGGTATATTGAGGCATTATATATAGAAGAAGACATGTGCAAAAGATGAGCCCATTTGGACGCGAATTGAAAATGTTGTGATAAAAGGAGGTTGGGGGTGGGCATTGGGTTGTGGTGGATTTTCGCGTTTTTGTGGGTGCCAGAAACAGGGGGGTGCCAGGAAGTGGGTATGTTGACTTATGATACAAAATGGACTTATATGGGTACAAGAACAGAACTCAAGGTTCAGTTGGAGAGAGCCAGCGGTATTTCTCAGAAATACCTGACTGGTCTACAAGACTTTACTAAAGTTTGCATTGCTGCGAAGATGAGTTGGATGGCAAACCGAGTTACTAGTCGAGAGGAAGACATCACTTACAGCATGCTCGGCATCTTCAACGTATTCATGACGCCCCAGTATGGCGAAGGGCCCCGCGCATTCCAGCGTCTGCAGGAAACGATACTATCTAGTCAGGCGATGGACGAATCTCTGTTTGCCTGGAGAATGCCCGATGTCAGCCACGGTGAGACAGTCCATGGCACGAATGAAGGTTGGGCACCCGACGAATGGGGTCTCCTTGCCCCATCGCCCAAATGGTTCAAAGATTGTGGAAGCATGACCTGTACCGACGAGCTGCCTTCACGTATCTTCACTTGGACAACGCAAGGCATCGAAGGCAACTTCATCAGGATCATGGATAACCGCAAAACCGTATCGATGGGAGCCCTGACGGGTTTTTGTCTCGGATCAATTGTTTGCTTGCCCTGTGGGATCTTGATGGTTGTTCACGGAATTCGCTACTTGAAGAAAAAGTTCTATGGAGATTACGCCTTTGTGTTGAACTGCTTTGACACAAATGCTAAAGGGGAGACAACGCGAGTCAATATCTTCCTCCGTGTCTTGCAAAAACCAACTGAGCAAAAGATGACGGCATTCGCCCCCCAAATACCCGGTTATCGGCGAGTTCGATGCACCGAACTTGGCACCAAGGAAAAGGCTACTCCTTGCAATTCAAGGCACAAAGCTGTGGTGTACCAGCCAGTGCCACAAATTTCAGATTAGTATCACAGTATTACCGAATTCAGCGGAAAAGATTGAGTCAGAAGTGGGACTTCGGTTTCTCAACTTGGTTTGGTGTCTCATCAGGTTTCCATATGTCCCCTAATACAAAGTGCTCATACACTACTCTACCTGATGTGCCACACTCGGTATGCACCTCTTCGGTACTGCAGCTGCTAGCAAGTGGAGGCACATCAAGCGCTCGATTCTATTGCATTTGATTTCTTTTTCCTTTGGTGAAAGAGAAGATACATGAACGCAGCCACGAGGAGACAGGCTCTGCCTCTCAAATTTCACACGTTGCGATTTGAACTGTCCTCGATCCTCCAAAGTACATACATGTACTCAGACTGAGTGAGTTATGAACGTCTTCGGCGTTTCTGACCTCGACACCTTGCCTTCAACATTACGGGCAAGTCTAGGCCATGCAATCTTTGGTAATGCAACCTCACAAGATCCAGGCGGATGTCTTCAAAGCTGCAGCCGCCTTCTGGACAAGCTATCCTCGTGACATTTTCCTCGTGTTCTTTTTGTTTGTGCTTCCAGAGCCCAGAGGCTGTCTTGTATGATTTCACGCAGTCCATCCTATCACACTGATAGACTGCCTGGCGATGCTGTCTGTCTCGGGTCCGTCAATAATGTGTATGTATCAGGGGGAAGGGAGCTCGAAACTTACGCGTCTTGTTTCGCCAATGGGAACTGCTCTTGTCTGGTCTTTGTACCCAGTTGAGTCGAAGCTCTTGTGCTAGAGGGATCGAAGCTTGAGGAACCGAAAATCCAACGAATGAACTTCTCGTGCTCACGACCAGGCTCGATGACTTCCTATTGAGAGACGTTAGGTCGGTTTCAACGGAAAATGTTGGACCTTGAATTCCAGTCTTACACGAGAAATCGCAACCAGGTAATCTTGGGCATGTTCAAGAGTAACCAAACTCCCCAATATTACAAAATTCTTCGCCACTGACAGCAATGCAAGGAATACCACATTGTTTTCTCCGGAACCTTTCATCGGATCAAACAAATCCCGGCGAAGTCTTCTTTCAGCTTTCGATCTCTCTTTGGCGTATGCTGAGCTTCTCCTCAGAGCGTGGACAGTTTTCCCACAGCCTGACAGCCGATAGAAAACGTCGCCTGTATCCTGGGCGAATGCCACCACAACTAAGAACATTGGAGTATCTCGCAACCTGAATATTGCAGTGTCGCTATCTCTGTTGAAACACTTGAATTTGATCATTTTTCGCTTGACAGCAGGGTCATCTGTGCTGAATGAGGGGCATCCTTCGGCGGGAGGCGGCCACTGCTGGGGATAGTGAGGATCATCCATAGGCGAGAAGGTCTGAGAAGGGATGTGGTCGAATGAAAGACCAGTCCAATAGTAATCGCTACTTTTCGGGTCGAGGCCTGAGGGGCACAGAGAGTCGTTGTGTTGGCCTGGTCCTCCCACTGCACCACTAGTATCTCCAAGTAGAGAGAGTAATTGACTGAAGTCATACTCTTCCGATGTCTGATCTGTGATATTCATAACGTCGCCACCGAAGGTTTCGATGTCAACTGAGTTTTGCTGGTTGCAAGCCGCAATTGGGCTTTTTTCTGATAGCATCTCTAGCCCTTGCGAGGTGAGTAGAGCAGCATCTCGCATCTCCTTCGATGAGCTGCCCTGTCCAGCGATGCTTTGAACGGGCTGAAAACCCAGTGGAAGCGGAGCATCATCATCCTCAAGCCTTGACCGTTTGGCTCTAAGATAATGCGAACCTTGGTCGTCGTCTTGGCCGCTGCGTTTCTCGATGTCATCCGCAGTCCGGAGATGCTCCAGAGGCCACATTTTCGAAGCCAATAGGTCAAAAGTATGTCGGTCCCTTTCATCGGAGATACAGCCCCCCCAGCGCTGTAAGCCGGAGAGCACGTCTGTTTCGGCAATCCGGCCACGTTGGAGTAGAAGGTTCGAGATAACGTAGGAAACTGAAGCGAATGCGACAACCTCAGCAAGAGTATCCGGAACAACCAAATCGAGGACATCTCGGTATGCCAAGATACCTATTTCTCCCATTCTCCTGGGGTTGGTGTAGTTTTTCAACAAAAGCTCCTGGATTTTCGTTGAGTTCTCCTCAAAAGCTACGCCCCTGAGCTGATAGTGTTGTTGTTCTAGGCCTTTTCGTAGATCTCGCAGGCCTGACCACGCCCGCCTGATCTCATTTGTCCGTATTTCTTCTTCGGCACACTTTGCCACGAGTTCTTCGAGATCAAGGTACGTGGTATCGCTGTGAAGTATGCTTTCTTCCGATGTCCCGGAGACGCCTGGGAAAGTTGGGTCGTATCGGATATTCTCCTGAGAATCCCCCACCTTGTTGAGATATGTGAGGCCTGCAAATATACCGTCGACCTCAGCTAGAGCGCGCTGTCTTCTTGCGCTCCCACCGATCGCCATTGCGCTCAGAGTCAAAGGTCCATCTTCGTCGCCGAGCCACTGTCCTAATCGCTCATTGCATAAATGTAGAGCTTCGCGTTTAGAAGCGCTCGCCGCTCCAGTGCCGGGGTTTAGTATCGTCATCTGAAGGATCTGGACAGGACGTGAGGTGCTGCTCAAGGTTGAGAATTGCTCATGGACATAAGGTACTTCCAGCAGTGCCAAATAAGGTCTTTAGTACAGAGTGAGGAAATGGAGTGGACAAATTTGGAAATCCATGCTTACAACAGGTCTCCTCGAAGGCCCTCTATAGCTGGCCGAGGACGAAATGGGCTATTTTTTCCAATTTGTTCCTCAATGATTTGAGGAGTCGCAAGCTCGTGGCCATTGGCTGCAGGGCAGCCACTTAACGCATCATCCAATTCATCTAGCGAATCATCAACGCCCTTTTGACGCTACGTATATTTTGTTTGCGACCTATTAGATCGGTGGACGAGAACTCGGTCCGTTCTTAACGAGGCGCGATGCTGTTCCATTCTATCATTTAGAGATTGATGCACGTCTATCACGCCTTGCCAGCGCTGCCGCAAATATCGATCCACCTTTCTGTCTCCTTCTGCAAGATGTTCATGCCGTCCTCCATTAATTGCGTCAGTGGCTTGTTGGCGTTCTCTCTTAGATGTACGTTCCAAACCTCCAGAAGCAGCTTATTGACATTCAACTTGATGGCGCCGTTATCGATGCACTTTCTCATAATCTCTGGGCTGAAGTCATTGGTGCCATGCAAAGCCATGAGGACTCGGTTGTTGATTTGCTTATTGACATTTGTCAATCGCTGGTAATCAAGTTGAGGGCCCTTGGGGCCGTAGTCTCCGTGAATATTGCCGATGCTGGGTGCCAAGAGATCAATCTCGGCATCGATGAAATCTTCAACCTCTTCAGGGCTCGTGAAAAGAGCTATTCAAGTCAGCGGATGAATTTCATGCTGCACAGGCTCCGAGCCTTACCTTCCAAGTCGCCGGTGTCTGCGATGCCGTCTTCTCCACCGTTGATGCGTCCACTTTCCGCCTCGACAGCAATGCTGTGGTCGTGGCAGACTCTTGTCAAAACCTTGGTCTTGGCGAGATTCTCTTCATGATCGTAATGGCTCATGTCGACCATGATTGAGTCGAATGGCAGCGTTCCCGCGATGTCGCGGATCTGCTGTTCATCTTGGGCGTGGTCGAGGTGCAGGGCAAGTGGGACCTTTGCTGATTTGATGGCTGCGGCGACGGCCCACGGGAGAGTCGGGAGCTGCTTCACCGTAAGAGGGAATAAGAGGATCAGCATAGGCGATTTCTTGGCCTCTGCTGCGCGAACAACGGCAGTGAGATGCTCAATGTTGTAGCTGAAATACAAAACATCAGTACCATCCTCATGATACGTGTCATGGTAGCTGATGACACTTACATGACCACGGAGAGAACTCCATATTTGCCCTCAGTCGCGGCTTGCAGAATCTGTAGACTGCGATTTTGCGACTTGCTTTCCGCCCAGGACGACATTTTGATGGTTACGTGAGGTGAATGATTCACTGAAGCTGAACAGTAATTTAAATATAATCAGAGCGAACGAGTTATTTAGATCAAGCTTTTGACATGCAGACAACGATCACTACTTATCATTAGACCTGGATGAGTTGTGTCGCTGTGAGCTCGGCGGAATGGCCGATGCCCCGCGTTCCATCGCTGAGAACCCCGCGACGAGAGTTTCGGGAGTGGGACTTAGGAGTACGTACCTTGAGACGCCCCTTCGATTTCCGGAAATGCAGTGAGAACACCGCAATTCTCACCTCCGCCATATCAAGACCGAGGATGGGAGCTCAAAGATCTTGAATGCTTCAGGTCCTCTCGAGGGAAACTCTCGCTCTTCTCACTCTTTCGCTGTTCATTTTGCGGTCACACTGCGCTAAGCTAGATGCTGCCCTACAAGAACACCGACAGAAACTGACGCGAGTCGGTTGGATCCCGATCGCTAGCAAGCTGCTGTGCTCTCACGGAACTTCCGTACCGTCAATATTTGACTGCAATCTTTAGGTACATGCAGCAAAGCTTGGTCGACCGACGAGAGAAACCGTTGAATCATGTCCCAGATACTCCTACTTCATCTCAGAATGTCCCGCTCAAATCAGATGACTGCGAGCGCCTACCATCCTCAATGTTGATGCTCGCGCGGTTCAGTTCGGATACGCGGCACACTTCACTTCAGGGCGATTTTAGCGGGCGAAGCCGCCAAGGCCTGAGCTGGCATTCAACTCATCCAACTCCCAGACACTCAACCTCTGAGTGTGTCATTCAACCTTGTGGGGTGGTCGACCAGACAGACTGTATGAGCATGAGGCTCTTGTGAGACGTCTTAGCATTCTCCATCTCTTTATGTTGCATTCTCACAATGATCGAGTGTTCACACACAGTCGCACCTCAGGGCTGAGGCACCGATACCTGTCTAAGCATAGCCGCCGTTGCCTGTGGCCTGTATTGTCCAGGTGATGGACGTAGCTGACCACGAGGAGTTAGCGTAGGCTGATCCTTCTGCACGCTACCCGCACACACCACGCAACCTCCAATCTGAGGTGAAAGTCCTCTGAGGCTCGGTCCGCAGCTTGTCTTCGGGACTAGGAGGAATTGAGGCTGGTGAACGAGCCAGCCTGCCACCGTCAGCAATAATGATGCAGCCTGGTCACGCAGACTCACAGGGGTTCGGTCGCCTTGGTGGCTGCATAAGCAAACAGGCGTCCGGTATGATGACTGCGCTGTCGAGAATTGAAGACAAACAGAATGAGCTTGGAAAGGATCTCATTTTCCCTTAAGCGACAGTGTCCCAGATCGCTTTTCGCAAAAACATCTCCATGTGGTTTTCTCGGTAGATCAGGGTGATGAAGCACAATGTCAGAGTACAAGGACTGGACGCGCGAGACTGAGAACGCGGTCCTCGACGAAGTTGCCGCCGCTCAGAACGACAGCCCCGAGCGCACCGACCCACCTCAGACGTTGCCGCCTGGCCAGCCATCTGAAGACACGCAAGTTGATAGAACCGCGTCGCCCCCACGACCTAGTACTTCATCACATTGGGAGCCCAGACCAGGCTTCGCGCACATCGACGGCGATGTCAATGGACGTGGGTACAATGAGACTTTGGTCGACATCGTGTGTGTGCCGTGTCCCGGAGCCGACCCCGTCGAGACATGGGCCCGCGACCCACTGCCGGAGGGATACTTCGGACGGGCCGCCGATGTGCCGCCGACTACGTTGAAAGAGCTCGCGGGAGCTAGTATTCTGTCACCGACGATCAATCGACATCTTCCCAAGGCGACCCATCTGTGGGTGAGGCAGGGGATCCGGAAGGAGGTTAGCGAGGCTCGCGTGCTTCTCTACCGTCATCGCGAGTTGGTTGAGGGAGTCACCCTTGAACAGCTTGCGGATGATTTGATTGAACAAGTTTGGAACACAAGATACGGCAACGTGAGTGTTTGACGTCTTTTCTTGGTGGGATCCACGGGATAACATAGCTTCAGCAACGGTCTCGTCCGTTATTCTTCATCGCGCATAGTGTTGGCGGCTTAGTCGTCAAGCTGGCTCTTTTGAAAGCAACTAAGAGCGAGTATTTCAAGCCGTTCATGTACAACTGTCATGGAGTTACTTTCTTCGGTAAGTTTGACGTCTTATTTGAAGACATCGGAAAACTTTTAGTCGCTGATGCCGGCATAGCAACTCCGCACAAGGGCTCAAGTTACCTGTCCATGAACAACTTGGAGGACAGTATTCGCCACCTTCTTCGCCTTCAACGACCGCTTCCACGCTCAATCTCCAACGATTTGAGACTAGGTCACAAACCTCTTCTAAAGATGGACGAGGAATTCTCAACAATTGCAAGCGAGCTCAGGATCTGGTCTTTCTATGAGACTATCGACTCTCAGCTTTCAGGCTCTGGGTCTACGAGTAGAGGCTTAGCGAAGGAGGTTCGATTCGGCGCCCCCATTGCATCCATAAAGTCATCATTACTTGGCGTTAGGCAGGAACGGGTCTTCTCGTTGGACAGCGAACATGCCAATTGCGCCTCTTTTGGTGAGGGGAACACAGAAACGATGAACACCTACCTACATGAACTCTCTGTAGCGGTTCAAAAAGCTACGGAACTGAGCTCCCAGTACATTCACACTCCGCTGAACCTCAAGAGACATGTCAAGGTCGAGATAATTGGCTTCTATGAAGACCCAGATGCAGACATGGAGTCCGCCATTCGTCTTTACTTCACGAAGCTCCATCTCCAAGAGTTTCTGGACAAAGGTCCCGAACGATGCTTGGAAGAACGGTTGAGAAGAAGCACACTCCGGCCTCGGTCTGACCCCAACCCGCCTCATCCAAGCCAGACAGACTCACAACACAGTTCTCATGGCCTGGGAATCATGGCTGGTTTCCAAGAGCTGGGGCAAAAGATATGGCGAGCTGGCTCAGACACCGGGAGTCGGCCCAAGAGCTCCGACTCCGAAAGTCAGGGCTCGCCTGGCATCGTCGTCACTCGTCCATCCATGGCTGGAGGATCCAATTCGATGCCTGTGGATGCCCTACGTCGAATGCAAAGCCTCAAGGTCCCAGCCTTGTCTCCGCCGGGGTTCAATCGGCCATCCAGTCGAGGTAGCAACGCCGACAGCACGAGGTCAGATCCAACAGAACTTGAGCTGTCGCCGAAGACGCCAGATCCCGAGCCTTTTGCATCAACAGGTGTAGAGAAGAGCTATTCAGAGCCATTTTCCAGACGACAAGACCGGTACTCGAGGGCTTCTGCCTTGGAGGATCTGACGGCTGGGTTTTCAAGACCTGACCCGACCGGTAGAAAGTTTATGTGGATTCACACTCCATTCACCAATCCCTCTTGGGTCAAGGTAAGATCGGGACCGCAATTCCTCACTCGGCCGAGCTAAATACCGCAATACAGGATGTTTTCAGTGTCCTAGCCAACCCTAATGACCCAAGTTTCGTGAAACTCTTCAACCATGATAACTGGGCATCGAAGCATGTCATCGGAAGACACTCTCAATCGCAAGCATCGTTCGTGAAACCGGCCTGCAACATCATTCCCCTCAACTCAGGTGAGCTTTCAAATGGAATGAGCCTGGTGTAACGTAAGCTGATTATGTCAAAAGTTCCCTCACCTCATCCGTCCCCCAACCTTTCTGGCCGTGTCAGTCCAGCCGGGCCTTCGTCAGCGTATCTGTACATGTACCTTCCATTCCTTCACTTCGATACATATATCGACATAGTCCGCCGACGCAACTTCATCAAGCAGCGCATGCAGCATGGCAGGTCTCGTCCGGTTCCGCGAGATATCGCCCAACTGGACTCCGCGGAGCTTCGAATGATCTGGGAGTATATAGGATATGACCCGCCACTCAATCACCGCCGGACTCTTGATCAATTTGCATACCCCTCCTTAAGAGACACGTGGGCTCGCGACGACGATCAGATGCTTTATAAGCTTACCAAAGATCGCGCGTCCACTGGAGTTGACTTGGAACAGCTGGGACTTCAGAGACGACAAACCACAGGATCGACATGGAGCCCGATGAACAAGCTCACGCCTTCGAGCACGGGACTGCTAGAGGATGAGGTTGATACAGATGATGAGAACCAGGATCTCGATGAGGTTATCAAGGATGGCAAGGTTCTCATGGTCGATGAGCTTTGGCTGTGGGCTATTGATACGAGTGGGTTCTCCCAGTTCGGTTCGATTGAAAGAATTCAGAACTGATAAATGCCTTAGAAACCTTAACCACATTCTTCAACAGAAGGGAATCAAAGCCAAAAGAGGGCCCCCTATTCCAGCAGGCAGACCTCAGGAACAGCGTATACAATGAGCTCAATGGAGATCTCACGGGCCGTTGTGAGAATGCACTGGATCTTGCAGCATTCATCGTACTTCATGCAATCACTGTTCTGCTCGATCGGGCTTCTCATCCTGACCTCGAAATCTTCAGAATATTTGAAGAAGCAATCAGCATGCTCGTCGGTCACCTCCAGCATCCTTCTGATTTTCCAAGCGCTGAGACTAACGGGTATAGACCGAGCGCATGACTTCTTCCCTGAAGCACTTCCGCATGCAGACATTCAAAGACGTTGGCTTCGAATCTGACTCGGATAGCAATCGGCCGGAGTCCATCAAGAAGCGCCATAAGCGTGAGCTCGAAGAAGCCGAGCGGGAGAACCGCTAAAACACGTCGGCACTGATGGAACTTCGCGATCTGGAGGATGAACTCAAGTCCCTCGAAAGGCTGTTCGAGACCCAGGACGGTGTCGTCCGAAATATGAAGGTGATCTTTGAGGGAGAAGACCTTAGAAATATCACAAAGAACGGACAGATGTACCTCGAAGAAGCTTTGGCCAAACTTGATGAGTACAAGAGCCAGACCCTAGAGATGCTGAAGAGAGTCGACACGACGAGGAATGACGTGAGTGATTGACATTTCAACCTGCAATGCTGAATCTTAACTGTTGGCTAACACATCACAGTACGAAAAACTCTTGGAGATGGTCCAGCGTAAGGCCCAAGTGGATGAAGTCCGTTGGTCGCGCCTTCAGACGGAGCTAGCCTCTTCGCAGAATCTCTCGGTCATGATTTTCACCACATTTACCGTCATCTTCCTTCCGTTGTCCTTCTTTACGAGCTTATTCGGCATGAACACGGTCGAATGGGACGCTCAACTTCCAACTATTGGCTTTATCGGTGCCGTTTCGCTGCCCCTGTCCGTGTTCATCATTGCAGCGGCGCTCATCGCCGCATTCAGTAGTCGTTTACAAGGATTTGTTCGGACGGGATACAAGGGTGGTAAGAAAGTCGTTGTGCTTGTGGCATCCAGCATCAAGAAGATTGTACCACAAAAAAAGAGGGAGAAGAGACGCATCAACAAGGTGGAACGGGAAGAGAGAAGAACAAGGAGGAAAGATGGTGGCTATGACTTTTGGGAGAATGTTAGGAGGGAACGGGCGAGCGAGTATCGGATTCCGGAAGTTAATCGCAACAAGACGAAGGCATGATACCAGGGAGTGATTGGGGACATTTGCTCGAAAAATGTCATTCGTTAGAATTATCTACAAGAATGTCTACGAGTGTAGAATTTTGTTGCGCCCATAAGTTTGACACCATCATACTTCACGAGTCCACCGGTCATTGCAATGGGCATCCCAGCGACGGAGTTCCAACTTTGGGCACACAGTAACCCTGGGTCACCGTCCCACCCGTGAATGTACTGGCAGCACTCTTCTTCGATACTCCATACGTCGCCTTGTTCGTCGGCGGAGCGGGGACAGTGAACGAAATGCACTGCGAATTGAGATCGCCGCATTTGTTCTCTGCAAGCAGGCACGGTGGGAGACAGGCACACGGGATATTGCCTTGCAGGTTATTTCCACAGGAAACCTGGACATTTAGCCACGGTATCCCGCCCAAGGGGCATCTCAAATTAGGATTGGCGTCGCAAGCTTGAGGCGTCACCTTCTTTCCAATGTTGCCCTGCCCCGCCGGGAGTCCGTTAGGAGTCTCCGGGTCGTAGTCAACAGTGAACTCGATCGCCGCCTTAAGTGTGGACAGCGGGACGGGAGTGGCCTTGGGCGGCGCTTTTGGGACCGCGCCGTTGCGGGCCGTATACCCTGTCGAGCCTTCAACGCACATGGTGTTATCTTCGAAGGCTGCGCGGGCAACATCTCGCCAGAGAGCAGTCATGTTATTGACATTATCGAGAGTGTAGTACAAACGACAGTCAGCCGCAGAGTAACGGAACTGGAGCGGAGTCGAGACGTCGTCCGCGCGAAGCTGATCTCGAAGGTTGAAGGCCGCATAACTGACGTACATGCCCGACTCACGAACATCCGGTAGTCTGGCCGCAGCAGTCGCGTCTTTATCCCGTGCAAAGGCGAAGTCGGCATCGAGGAAGTCGCCCGAATAGATGCGGGCTCCACGAGTGCCGCCCGCCGCTTGCATTGGGCCGGGCTTGGGGGCACCGCCTACAGCGATGGTGCGGGCTTTGCCTTGAGTGGTAGCGATCTCGAGGAAGAGAGCGCAAGCGGATGAACAGGCACCATCGGTGAGCTACGAGATGTGTTAGCCCAGACGTTTTGTAATATCACGAACCAAACGGTTTTGGGTGGAAGGTGTCTTGACTTACAATAACGATGTTTTCAGGGTCGAATGGCGGCGACTGACCAACATCTTTGTTGTCAATGTAGCGGGTCATCAGCCAACCATCAAAAGCGGCTTGGTGGAAGTACGGATTGGACAGATCGTAGCGTTCCTTGTGTTTATGTTAGCTGAGAGCTTTCCATGATACTTGTGCATTCTCTTGTCATTGAGACAACGTATCACCAAGCTGAATTCGTCGTCATTGTATCTCCGCGGGCCTTCATACTCCTGCCATGAGGTAAAGTTCTCGTTGGTCTCTGCGTTCAAGCGAGACGTGATAACCCACTCATCTGCCACCAGCTCGACCTTTGTTTTGAACTCTGTCGAGTTGCTCGTCGGAAGTCCCTCCCAGTAGTTCGTTGTCGCAGTGCCCAGAACATTTGCCATGTCAAAGCTGCGTCTCCGGCTTCCGGCGAAGGGGTCGATGCCAGGGAACAAATCCCGTAGCAAGAGAAGTGCAAGGCCAGTTGTGCCACCATAGTTGTTCGTGAGATCAATCACCAGTTTAGAAAGGCTTCTGTTCTGGGCACCCTCGAGAAAGGTGTCGACAGCCAAGCTGAAGTTGCCAATGTCCCATCCGTATTGGTCAAAGTGCGGAATACTGAGCACGGCGGTAGAGATGTCCTCGTAGAAGTATCCGGTCACGACACCACCGTTTCCAGTCGCGTCCAAGTTATTCTGCACGACATCCGGGTTAGGCGGGAATGCTCCCTGACTCTCGTTATAGAAGCTTCGGCGTTGTTGCTGCGGCACTGGGTTGAGGGTGCCGCTTAACGGTTCACCGCCTCCAAAAGCTGGCGGAAGCGGAACTTCACTATAGGATGCTGGCAACAATCCGAGAACGAAGTAGTTGTAGAAGTCACCGCCGGTTGTCAGAGGACCAGTGAAATCTGGGTTGTTGTAAATTGCAACCCAGTAGGTCTCTTCCACAGCGACTTCGTTCAGATTAGGATCTTCGTAGGTGAAATTCAGCGAGTCCCCTGGGTAGAAGGTGCCGCTTCCGGCAAAAATGTTCAACGCCCCTATGATATCCTGTACAGGATTGCCCATAATCTGGTTCCAGTCGGCGTGGGGTTCAAGCATGCCGACTGAGTTCAGAGCAGCGTAGCGAGTTAGGAAGTCGACAATGGGTTCGTCGTTAATGTGAGAGATGGCGGAAATCTTGGTTCCATTGTCTCGATAATCGCGGACCTGAGCTTGAGTTCAAAGTTAGTAATACTTACACAAGATTCCGGGCCAGAGCCACTCACATTCAAAGTACACCTTCGGGGTTTCCTTGCCATCGATTGATGCAGTGACGAGTGACCAGGGGCTGGAAAAGGAGAAGGCCGAGAGAATTCCAGCAGCAAGATCCACATGAGCATCATGAACTGAGTAGACCAAAAGCTGTAGGTCGGCCTCAAACTGGTACTGGTTCTTATAGACACCTGAGGTTACGTTCGCCTTCAAATATTCCAACCCTTGGTTAAGGTCAAACGCGGGTTGTTGATAACCTTCGGGAGGGTTCTTGAGGTATGCCAATGTACTTTGAAACTGCATAGTCGTGTTGTAATATTCGATAAAGCGAAGTGCCACGGCATCGTTGAAAGGAACGCTAGTCAAGCAAAGATATACGTCCGAGGCATAGAAGATCCGATATCCTGCGTTTTGATCAACACCAAGGAGAAATCAACTCTGCATAAACGATACTTACCATCATTGACAGCCTCAATAATCTCGCCACATATCGATTGTGGTGGAACAGGCTCATCCTGTCGTCGTGGCAAACTCTTCGGAGCCTCGGACGGGCGAGCAACCACGGCACTTAAGCAGTGGCTCAGCAGCAATAAAGGGACTTTGAACAGCATTTTGACTTGATTTCAACCAAACGGTGGTAGATTTGACTTGCAAAAAGCTCTTTAACACAAAATTCAACAATGGCGAGCGATGGCTGCAATCCTCTTATTAATCAGGTTCCATCAGTGAGGCAAAAAGCAAAGGTCTGCACCTGCGGGCGCCATTTCCCATCTAAGATTAGACATTCGGCCCCCATGACCCTGCTAGGCAATCGTAAATCCAGAGCCTGGGGACCAGACTGCTGGGCTGCATCGAGGCTGCATATAGTGCGGCCCGATGTAACCATTGCTTCTTCGAATGTGGAATACCAGACGTAGAGCCCGTCATCGACCAGTTCTCCAAGGCTACGCGAGACTAGGCAACACCATTCCCAACTTGAGGCATGCAACAGCCATGAAGTCACAACTATTTCACCAGTGCACATCGACGAGGCCAGGTATTCTCCTATCTACATCAAATTATGTGTAAGTCGCTTCAGAGAACTTCGAAGTACACCGTCAACCCTCTGTATCTGAAAATGAGCTCACGATGCGTCAATGTCGATAGAAAAGAATAGCTCCAAGGGATGTGCCAACGGCTTGTGGCTGCGGCCCGTCGTTGTAGCATGAGTGGGACCTGCTTCTAGGGCTGGGCTGCTTATCACGCGATAAGTTCAGTCAATAAGACATGTGGCTTGTCTGGGTCCCGTAGGATTCACGGCTGAGATGTAAGTCAGCACTTAAGCATATTGGTTTGATTAGTTTGGTAAGTAAGGGAAGATGATTTTGCGTGAGATTCCAGCAACTCGGTGAGGCGCAGCCCCTGCAGCTGCATGAGTAGCTTGATTTTCCCCTCTACAGCCCCGGTAGTATCAACACACTCGATTTTACGAACCGCCAGAAACGGTAAGATTGTACGCCTGCTGGTAAGGCCCTGCTAGGCAACCGTCAAATCTCTGCACCCGTTTTTTTGGTGACACAAGGCGCTTGCAGACCCGGAAGTGGGTGTGATGAAGTCGATGGTTCTGCTCACCACGTGCATCTTCGAGCACGGCGATTTTCTAGAGGTGGAACTAATTGAGTTTCTTGAACGGGTGGCCTTTTCGCGACTCACGCTGATCCGATATTTCTTTCCCGTTGAGGAGCCCTATCCGTAGCGTCCGGTGGCACGGTGAACGAAAGAAACTTAACCAACGTTTCTTGAATGTCGGAAGCCTGCCGGCTCCGTTGAAGATTTGAACTCTGCTGCTCTGCTGGGGCCAAGATACAGCCGTTGCGCCGTTTCGACCCTGAGCCTTTCAATACTAGTACCGAAACGGAGACCCTAAAACATGGACGCCGTTGAAGCAGAAGAAGTGCACCATCCCGCGGTGAGGGAACTGTTCGAGAGCAGGTCAGAAATGCACCCCGCATTGAGCGAGTCGCACGAACCGGGCGCGGATATCTGGCAGCCACTGTGGGACTGGGTGTTCATGAACGACATCTTTCAATGCTGGCAACGGGATGACAACAAGTGGATGCTGCGCTGTGTTGGTAGACCAGGGTCAGGCAAGGTGCGTACAAGTTGTTTCTTGTTTTACGTTTTCCCTGGCATTTTCCTTTGCATCTCCTTCCTTTGTTTTGCAGGTCGCAGTTTGCAGTTTGCATGAAGGTCATGGGCCTCCAGATCGTCCCAAGGGTTGTTCGGATGCCAAGACGCTGGTTGGTGATGCATCACACTGATAGAATTCATGCGCTGATTACCTACTTGCTTACTTACAACTCGTGCCATTTCAGACGACCTTGTCCGCGCTGGCGACCAAGAGGTTGAGAGAACAGTACCATGGGGAGAGGGAAGCCGTCGCCTCAGTTTTTGTGCGGACGGACGTGGCCTCGGGCGGTACCGCCTTTGTGGAAGACGTTCTGACGAGCATATTCCACCAACTGTGCGTCAACCACACACAGGTCGACGAGGACGAAGCGTACGTCGCAAAGTATCGACTTTACCTCGACGCTAGGAAGCACGGTCATCGCGACATCTTCCGGATTAAGCTTATGCGAGAGGCGTTGCAGTCGCGACTTGGCATGCTCGATCGCGCGTTCCTTGTCGTCGACGACTTTGACAGGTGTAGTCCGGCTGTTGACCTGTTTCTCGAGAACGAGCTGGCCATCTTGGCGAACGACTCAAGGCTCAAGGTACTCATCACCTCCCGCGTCTCATGTCTCAAGACGATACCTACTTGGCAATATTGCGACTCTTGCGATGACGAGACGTCGAAGTTCCTCCATGTCTACTGGCGATGTGAGAGCTGTAAGAAGGGAAAGGTGAAACTGGATTCATACATTCTCTGCCAAGAATGCAGAGACAATGAGAAGACATGCACCAACTGGTAAGTTTGCCATGGCCGTGCCAAACTAAACACTCTCTTTGCATACTTCACCCATTATCGTGTTGCTTTCTCACTTCATGAAATGAACTTTCTGCTATTACGGGAAGACATGCGGCTCCTCTCGAACCAAGTTGAAGTTGAGACTATCGAGTGGAATAAGGCTAACATCCGAGGCGAATGCGAAGCGGAGACGCCGCAGACTTCGTCCAACCTTTTGATCATATTGAGCTTCAAGTCCATTCCGCCATGGAACCGGTCTCACGATTCATCAATTGGGACCTGGAGACAGAGCACGGGGACCTTGGCCTGGGCAGCCGCAGCAACAACAGCAGGGAGAACAAGCCCGACGAGCTACCACCACTATCCGCGTTTGGCAGACGGCTGGTCGACCCCCGAAACCATGAGGTCTTTGCCGACTTGCGACATCAAATTGAAAGTCAGGCCAGCGGTAACATCAGTCTCGCTCGTCTGCGACTGGATGACCTCCACCGAACCCAATCTCTCGACGCCGTTGCCGTTCAGGCAGATAAACTGCCTGCGAATGTCGTCTCCTTCTTCGACGCTGGCATTCGACGCATCGAGGAGCAGCCGCCTGCGCAGCGAGACCTCGGCTTGAAGGCGATTGCCGCCGTCGCGCATTATGATTTTTCGCAAGATGGTGTAGCGTATGAGATCGTAGAGAAAGTCCTTCATCGAGCTGCCAAGGCCTCCGCTCGAGCTTCCGCCAAGAGAGCAAATTCAACTCCGACGGTATCATCGTCAGTGAAGTCTCACAAGAATTCTACGGCACCCAAGAGGCCAGAAACAACGACATGGGTTCATGTGCCTCATCGCAGCCTCGAAGAGATGCTGCATGCCACGCGTGGGTTCCTGGAGTTCGGCAATCAGGAACATCGACCATTACGGGCCTATTGTCAGGCCTTCCACACGTACGCGCAGGAGAACTACAATGAGTCGCTCGTATGGGCGCACGCGCAGCTCGATTTTGAAGGGGAGGGCTTGGCGGAGTTCGGCAACAAAGGGATGAGGCGCTCGCGGACGGGCGTCGCGCATTTTGTGGAGAAGAGGGACCAAGCGATGACGCCGGGGCCTTTTCATCAGGAACCACCACCAATCTGGACTAATAGACAGATGGGCGAAGGAGGATGGGGGCCCAGTCTTGTTGGTGGTGGTGGCTCGGGTGCGAGCCGTGGTAACGCTCCCGATGCTACCGTTACTGCCGCCGCCGCTTCTGACGGCTCGGGAGCGCATGGGGAGGCCCCGTTACGATCTGCTGCGGCTATGGCTGCTGCTAAGCGGAAAATGGTCAAGGCCTCCGACTTTGAACGGGACCAGAGCTTCAAAATGGCAAGGAGAGGCACGAGCTGGGCCTGATTCAGACACAGATACGTTCGACGTTTACCTTAATCGATGTTTGGTGTGACTCCATACGGGGACTGGGGTTTCGCTTCGGCAGTGACATACCGCTAAGGTTGGTCCATGTTACCTGAATAGGGTAGCGAAGAGAAACACACTGGGAGGCTTGGAGGGAGACAACGTTTGACGTATGGATACCTGTCGGACGGGGACGGCAAAATTCGAATACAGCGCCTAGAAGAGAGAAAAGCTCGAGCACGTGTCAGGTTCGTTCAATCGAGAGTGAAAGCCACTGACTGGTGGTGGACCGCGGGGAAAGACAAGTGAGAGATTGCGAGAGACGGACGAGAAAGAAAATTGATGTCTTGTTTGAGGACTCGGCTTGGCTGACAGGGCGTTAAAGGCTCGCCTTAGAGCTGGCATCGTCCTTGTTGATTCCCTGTCTTGGTAGACGATCCTTCGAAATCGAAGACCCAACCGTCTGTCCGTTCCCAGAGACGTCATCCAGCTACCCCCCTGCAACATGCCAGTTTGAGCAAGTTGAGCGGTGCAACTTCGTTCCGAAACCAGCCCTACCTGCGATTCCTGTGGGTGCCTTGGTGTGGTCCATTTCTGTCGGCCCAGGATCTTTCCGTAAGAGCGCTTGGGTATTCCTCTCCGAAAAATCTGATGTGCCTGTGTGTAAGTGTGTGGATGGTGTGTCGCGATGTGTGTACCTACGTCGTGGAAGAGTATGTGCGGTGCTCTTCTCCTCTACCCACCTAAAAGAGTTGCAAGTCCACGTGCGCCAAGCAACAAACAGGTTTCAAGATCATGTATCGAAACAAACTCCTCGAGAGTATAATAGTTCGTCCCGGTCGCTCCAACCATGTCACTGTAGCTCTCGAATCTCATGCCAAGTTGACCTGTTTCGTTTTAACCCGCCTACTTCAATTCGCTTCCCCTGTCTATCGTTCACCTCTTTTTCTTCGTGTAAATTATTGGGTATTTAACACACCTTTTCCGATACTGAAGGATATTTCTCTGCACAAACTTGAGCTCGGTGGTACACAAACAAAAAACGTCAAGATGCAGCTCACAACAATTCTCGCGACCGCCGCGGTGATGCTCGCCGGCTTCTCGGCAGCGGCCCCACTCGAACGCCGGGCCTTCAGTGCCGAACTCCCGATCAGCCCGGAGCAGATCAAAGTTGTGGAGGAAGAGGCGCGAGGATCGCTCCCCAACTCTGCACCACCGCCCAAGTTGGAGCCGAGCAGTTTGACAGCTTTCCAGCTCATTCAGTTCAATGAACAATTCGAGGTCGCCTTCTTCTCATCCATGCTGGAAAACGTCACCAATGGAGGACCTGGCTGGGAAACAACCGAGAAAGATAAGATGGTCGACGCGCTTAAGGTTGTTGTTGCTGTAAGTTTCTCTTACCTTTGGTCAGCGAAGAAGCAAAAGAAGGTTGTCATCGGGATTCGCGGAACTGGCACTGACAGCTATGACAGCAAGAAAAGCTCCATGCGCTCGACGCTAAGGGTGTCTTGGACCACTTCAAGGCTTTTTCACCTCCGCCTTGCAAGTATCAGTTCCCGACAAACGACTTGAAATCAGCCGTGGCCCTCGCCGAAACCTTTACCTCTGTGGTGCTCGGCACTCTGCAAGATGCGAACCAGCTGCTGGCAAAGAATGGCGACGCCGGACCCGTCCGAGCCGTTAGTGCCGTCATCGGCCAAGAGGGCGAGCAAAATGGATTCTATCGCAGCATTCTCTCGCGCCCGCCATCGTCGCAGCCTTTCCTTACGACCTCTATCGCGCCATTTGCCTTCTCTGCGCTGCAGTCTTTCGTTGTCAAAGACTCTTGCCCGTTCAAGATGAACCAGATCGACATCCCCGTCTTTGCGCCACTGAACGTTATGCAGATGGCAGGAGGAGAAATTGAGGCTAAGAACCAGATGCTCAACTTCGAAGTCGACTTGCGGGAGATCGTCACGGCAGGCCGTTTCCTCGGCAAGGACAAGGCACCTTTGTTCGTGACCTACCTGAGTGGACTCAACGTTCCCCTGAGCGTCCCAGTCATGAACCCACAATGGGACGGCGCGAGGATCGCCTTCCAGGCCGAATTTCCCTTCGATAAGAACAGCATGTTTGGCCTGTCTATTGCTGCACTTACGTACGAGGGCAAGTTCACCAACCCTGACGACATTCCCAAGGCAACCCTGGCAGGTCCCGGATTGATCCAAGTCAACAAATAAAGGGTCGCAGCCTGTAGAGTTGTAATTGTACAAATGGTGTGGCATGTTGGCGAGCGTTGTGTAGAAGATCTGGAAGATATCCCAAGCCAAGGCGTTTTTTGGCGTTCAAATAATACAGCATAGACTAGCAATTTACTTTCAAGCGTTCATATCTCGGGTTCACATCCTAAACCACTCGCCATGACTACCTTACCTTACATGTGCTCCAGTCTCTCCATCCATCATCTTGGAAAGATGAATGTGAATTCGCTCTTCACTCAGGGTCATATCTTGGACGCGGCGTCGCCTAGGAATATGATGCTGGAACAATGAATTGCTTTTAATGGCAATTCAAGGACTACGAGGTTGCTTGACGGTCCATCACGTCAAATGGCTACTAATCCGTCAAATCTGCACCCCTCAATCCTAATCTGGCTTGGTCGCGTCATGACGAGAGAGCCCCTACTTGTGAAATCCACTATCGGGCTCCTTTAATGGCCGTACCTACTTCTTCTCGGCTTCTTCAGATAAGTCCGGGAACTCTCGTACAGTAGCCGATGACGCTAGTATGAGGCGTTGGAGAACATCAGACGATGAGCCCCTTGCCGAGCACAGAATGGTCTTCCGACCTCTCGACAACAGAGGGGAATATCGCCGGCCCGATTGGGAAATCTTTCACATCTCTCTAGGTCACTTCTCACTGGCAACTAATACGAGCAATTTCAATTCCATACCGAGCGACTATTCCGTGTGGACAATGGTGTTGGACATTCCTGGATGCCATCTTGCTCATACTTCTCGTCGCCAGGGTCGACTATGTGCATGTGGTATACTATGCAGTAGATCAGTCCGAGGCAAACATGGTCTCGACGATCCATTAAACACTCATTAAGATCGCCATAAATCTGTGTGTGCGACCAACGGTCAACGAGAAACAAAACGCGAGAGCGATTCCCTGTCGTGCCCCCCATTCCGGCCACGGGGCCGTGTGCCTGTGCACAGAGGAGGGTCTGGTACACGCTCCGTCTCAGACCACCACCAATACTTCGGATTCAAGGGTTGCCCTTTTGACAGTTCGGACGTTTGCCTAAGTGTTGCAGTAGATGCAGTGCCACGACACAGGATAGCCCGGCACGGCCGACTAATAAGCTCACCAGGGGTTCGGTACACAATGTTCCCGAACGGGAAAATCTGACTTACGGGCTACTCGAATACCCTAGAAGTCTAGATCTGTGACGAAAAGACCAGAATTTGCGAATCGGACTGAATGATTGACGGCAAGTCTCCCGACGCAGGTATGTCGGGTGATCAGTTGGCAGTTACTACTGTCGGTGTCCATTCCGTCACTATCCGGGGCTGCTCCCAGTCTGCCGGTGTGCTCAGCCCAACTATCTGTCACGGAATGCGAGGAAGAGGAATTGGAATGATTGGTCATCGGGTGATACATCAGCTGGAAATCGAGGGCGAAGGGGGGAAGAATCGATTCGATCGCTGTAAGAAAACGGAAGGCGGGGGTGGTCGAGCTTGGCCTCGGGTAGATGGCAGGCTTCAGAGACATGTGTCCCTTACTCAGTTGCCGAATCCCGGGACCAATGATTGAATGCTCCTCAATGGCCAAGATGCCGAATGTCTAACTCGGACTCAATTCGTATCTAAAGGGTGTCCTGTGGAAGCTTCGATCAACCAACGGACCAAGGAACGGCGATTCGTAACTGACCCTTGGGCCGAGTCATTCCTCCCGGAACTCCATGTCGGGGCGTTAATTCGCAACGGCGTTCAAATCTGCTTTGGCAGTAAGCTTATTTGCGCCCGACTGGGGCACTTACAATGACTAAGGAACTCTCATCGTCTTTTTCCCGCGGTCTAGGCCGGCGGATCACGGATTGTTTCCGACAAGTCAGGGGTACGGCTGAGCCAGGAGTTGGTCATAGTTTCTGACTTGGTTTCGGCAGAGGCTCCAGTCCCGTCAGTGTTCCACAGGTTAAGTAGTGGATGGAAGAAATAGCATTAACTAGTACTCGAACCTAAGTATCTACCATTTTTATGATTTTTCTCCCTGTTGAATTCCAACGATTTGTAGCTGTCCTTGAGTTTCTAGAGTAATTAAAGTAGGTAGTTTCTTGAATGAAAGAATGTTGCGTCTAAACAAAGGTGAGTTCTTGGCCCACAGCATTTAACAAGAACTGAGCTGAAGTCAATTAACTTTCAATGCTTGCATTTCTCGCCTTTTCTGTGTAAAGAACTATGCATGAGTTCTGAAGTTTACATCAAAAATTTTACTCGCCAATGGATGATATGTGCTGGTGATACATACTTCACCGGCCGCGGGCATGGGGTAGGTCTTGTGGGTTACTGAATCGGCCGTTATTTGCTGGTAAGTCCATCGCTCTCTGTTTGTCACTAATAGTGACATGGCATGACTTGGCTGAAAGCGATATTGATTTCGATTACTTTGCCTTGTTATAGCTATGTCAGTATGCTATCACCACGTCCATGACGCAGCTACGGATTGGGCTTCGCTGGTTTTGTATTTGCTTGCGTGGATCCGATAGAACGCTACATCTCTTTTAGCCCGCGTAATATAGATGTGAGATTAAAGAGTACTACGGGTATTGTAATCCAGAGAATCATTTTATAATACGGCATCGAACCTCCAAATTATGTCTGGTTGTTCAAGGATTAATTTCTTCCTTGGTTGATCATAGACCTAGGTACTACAGCGAGACAAGGCGTTTTCAATTGCATCCGCTATGTTAAATCGGTTCTTAATCGTCAAAGTAAAGCTGAAGCTAGATTTAAGATCAAAAGTATGCTTGCAGATTCTTGCAAGGCATCGTATGATATTGGCCCCTAAGCTCCGTTTCTCGACGGCTTCAAATACCACGTTGTCAGATCAAAACTGCGCTGAAGTGGAACATAGTATTTGCAGAGAAAAAGACTATAGATTTTTTATGTCGGTATGCGTATTGAATCATGTCTCGAGTTCTTATTTAATGACAATTATCATCGAATCCATTGATCTACCATGATCATCCGCAGAGCATGAAAACCTGGGATGACTGCAACGGTAAAAGAAATGGCATCGAACTTTGTCGAAACAAGCCCCGCGCGATGAAAATTTCTGAGTTCACACATCTAATTTCTGAAATCCACAGATATTATTTATCGTTGAGGTTGAAATTTGCCTTCAAAGTAGGACTTACAGGTGAAGCAAACGGATAATGGTGTGATCTCGATGCAATGTGTTCAGAGACGGCAACGATGCATCCATAACGGCCTTTGACCTCGTACATGAGAACAATAAATCATGTTAGATGCCGTCAGGCGAGAACATCCTACTTGTGGGCTACCGAGTTGTGGAGAGAACGGCCAACGACTAAGAACATGTCGTGTCAGAGTTTCATACTGGATATTATACCACCTTGTTGCTTTAGATTCATCATGTCAAAGCGTGGCATGGGCTGGATCTGCTTTGCATTAATAAATGTCCCCCAGAAGAAAGCGGTACAGGTATTATCGAAAAGGCTTCAGGGGTTTTCTGCTTTAGTTCACTCTTCAAACCAAAATGATCTGTGTCCATCCTCGATCACTCTCATGGGCTGAAAGAATAGCGTCTATGACATCTTGGTTTTCTTTACCATGAGATCTTCCTCCCCAAAGGTACATCCATCCGATCTTACGATACGTGTTTTTGGACGCGCCAACTTTCTCCAGGATGAGACAAGTAACGCCATTTGTATCACCAGACTGGTCCCTTTCAAGATCCTCCCAATTGACTTCCTGATTTCTTAAGGGCAGTAGTGATGTGTGACCGCTCTTTTTCAGATTGTCCTCAACTGCATCAAGGTAAGGCCATGTCGTAAATGGAGGGAAGGCCTTGTCTTTAGAGCCGAAATGGATGAGCCCATCGTTTGTAAGTGGGTATTCTCGCTCATAAGTTGCATCATACACCTTCGCTCGCAGTGTTATGCTACCACCGATTGCATTGACCAAGTCGTTTCCCGCACTTGTCGTTGTCACACTTGCGTCCATTACCTCTTCTAGAAAGTGATATCCGTGAGCAGGGTGTGTTGGCTGTACTGGCCCATCAACAGATGCCCATGACCAGGATGGAGCTCTGTATTTGCTCATGATCCTCGGCTGTGGCATCAATGTATACCAATCTAGCTGATGTAGAAGACGTGAGCGCCACAAGCCAGCAAGATAGGTGTCACCTGTAACTTCCTGGAAGAGCTTGGCAATGCCCCCTAGGGCGTAAAGCTTGTCCTCTTTGACGCTGAATTCGCACTTGGAGTAAGTAGCGACGATATCAATCCAAAGATCCAAAGTATCGAATGGCATGAGGCCTTCAACTTTGGTCTCATCGTCATTTCTTTGTGGTGGAAGGAGGCGTTTTATGCTTTTCGAGGATTCATGAAGTGGAATTCCTCGTGGAAATCCCTCGCATTTGTGTTCCTCTAAGCATTCCCACATAACTTGACTTCTTGTGAAGTAGATTTGTCGCGGTGATAAGAACCGCTCCTGGAACACCCATCCCCTGGTGTGCAGAGCACCATACAGGAGGTGGCGATCCCAATATCCTTTATCAAACATGTAGAACTCCCCGGGTTCTTGGAAAGCGAGGTTTGACTTGACGATGCCCGGCCGGATGTTCTTTGTGACACGAGATCGGAACAATCCGCCAGCAGGGCTACTCGAAGCAGATGCTGCAACGTTGCACGCTGCATTACTGTATACTTCTCTCATCGTGAGCGCTTCCTTCTCCCAGTCATTCCTGGAGTCTTGTATGATGCATAAACAATCTATCCAGACATACCGGATGCCAAGATGATGTGCAACTACAACCAAGTCCTGGAATGTTTGCGGTAGTTGCACAATGGGACTTCCACGACCCAGTAAATCCAGGTTGTGTGATGACAAAACCAACTTTTGAGGTTCGGTACCCCACCGGTAACTCAAGGTCATATACTGAGGCCGCGGTTGATAGCGCTTGAGTTTTGAATTCTCTGACCTTACAACAAGTCTCCAGGTTGTCTCCCCCCTGGAACCTATGTCGACCAGGCGAGTTGGCAGCCATTTGGCGGCCGAGGTAGGCAGCCGCTTGCATTAATCATGGCCATGGAAACACTCCGAAAACCAGGAATGAGCTAAGTCAAGAGTTCCTGTGGAGCCAGTGCTTTCGTCAATCTTGTCGAACGAGAAAAGATCTTCGTATTCTCTCTCTGTCGGTAATGTTAGCAGTTGCTGTGCATTTTACTTGGAGTGTTGGATTGGGCATCGATATGTTGAGTAGTCGAACATACCAGATGAAGGAATCAGCCTGAATCGTAATTCTGTACTACGTTCGCTATGGGTCTGCGTGGGATCTCGGTACATGACTATCACTCTGATCTGGTGGAGAATATCATTACCCTCATAATATTCCTTGTCGACTCTGAACGACAATGGCCGCCATAATTGGGGATCTAAGGACTCCCACCCTATCCTGTGCAGCTCACTTAAGTTCCATAATTTTGAGCAGATGAAGCAGTCTCGTAATACTGCCTTTCGAAAGGCGTCGAGAGTTTGGTCTGGTGGCGTGATCCAAGGACTAGAGGTGGAGTGGCTCGATGTTGGCTGAACTACCTGCTTGCAAATAGAGCATAGAAACGTCGTGTCCGTAGACATGTTCGAGTCACAGTCAAGTGTACGTTCCGTTAGCGGATATGTCATGAAGTAATAGCCCATGTTCTTCAAAGGCATACTGGAATTAATTTGGTTATCGTCAGGCTGCAAACCAACGTGAGGTAGAACTTGGCCCCGCTTCCAAGGCCAATCCGCCACATGACTGGATCTCACTCATCTACCCGCATTAGATCTCGCAGGCGCTCATTCAGGTCAAGGCTAAATACACATGCGAGCTCGAGATACCTTACGGAGTAGCTTACCTTGAGAGCCGATCCCGCGAAGGCACCTCGACTGAGGCGCGCGACAGTAAGTACAAGATATGAGGTTTAATCAATCTCGCTGACAGAGAACATCCTCCGACATTGTCTACTCTTCAACAACTTGGCAGGACAAGTTGAGTAATAAATTGCGCGACTTTGAGTCTCTCCGGACCAATATAATTGCCACGGAAAATAGAGAGCAACGCTCCGCGACTGCTGACATACAAGCCATATGTTATTTGCAAAAATGAATATAGAGTATTTGAGCTGATTGATAAAATGATTGTGGAGTTCCATATGCCGGCCACGTGGGGCCAGCTCTGGACAAGGTCGGCCCTGGCAGCGGTGCGCGCGGGCTGCGAGACACCCCCCTTAATACGGCCCAGCCATTCGGCACTCTCGTCCGAACGGGGCACTAGCATAGCGGGAGACAAAACCATGTCAATCTGTCAACGTCTACGGAGTACTTGTAACAAATCCCAGCGGCTGAGCGTTTTGGCGGTGTTCCGGTAGGTGGCCTTTGTTGGTTCGGCTCAATCGCTCTTGGTTGCTGCAGTGTCCGCGTCACTCACGCCAGACTCTTGAATGGCGCATCAGGGGCGACAGCTCTGCTTTTTCTACTCAGCGGCTGAGTGAGCACGTGTTTTGAACAGCAAGACACATCACTGGCATTGGAACGCGTCGGCCGGTGTTCCAAATCCAGAGGAATGTTCGAGAGTCGGTTAAGATTACGAAAGCTTGGAGCATTCTCCAGGCCTAGAAACTCAGACTTGCGTGCTGGAAAAAGATTTCTGGGCCAGTTGCCTGTGAACTGCGGACGGCGGCTTGCGCGGGTCCGCTTCAGGAGAGTTTAGACTTTAGACTCATCGGACAATCGCTAGGATCAAGACCTCAGCTTAGGCCCCATTAGGTATTCGGATCCACGCGAAAGGTCCCTAGTTTCTTGCCTCCTAGAAGAGCAAAGATGTCATCTCGGGCTGTCCGTTTTCGAGCTGGCAGGGCTGTCGGCCTGACTCTCAGCCCTGGAACCCCTGAAGCGCATGAATCATCAATCGCGGCTGTGGCGGACCACTGTCGCGGGTTCTGCCGAGTCCTTGATATTTTTGGCGCATCGTCGCTGGAGGCGTTGTTGCTTTCTTCAAGTTTTAGACAATGACTTCTTCGACAGAATTTATTGTTGTAGAAATGTATCGTAAAGGTGGCTATTTCTTGGGGTCTTATACCGCCCATCAAGATCTTGCATGTCTCAGTTTGCGTGTTCGAAATTTCCCTTGAATACCACGGCCTCTTGGAGAGGACTCGGCGTGCCCTGTGGGGGCGCGTTCTCGACGAACGGCATTGCCCCGGTCGGTGCAACCGGCCGGCAACAGGCCTGTTGTTTGACGTTCAGGAATTTAGAAGCCAGGCTAAGTGGGCTGGACTTGGTCTCCATCTTGGGGTTGTATCCACATCCACACGGGAGAGCTTTAAAGATGTCATTCCCTACGGTATCCTTCGTGACATTAACCTTGCATTTCTCGTTCGAGGTGTCTTGTGGACATTGTCGATTACCGCAGATGCCTTCATAGGCAATCGCTCACGTGCACGTGCATACCGCTTCAACCATTGGGAGGCCAGCCCTCTAGACGGCTCACACGATGCCTTACCCATTCAGAAGAGCGCAAAGTATGTCATCGAGGGTCCCGTCGCCATATGGAGACCGGTTGCTAACGTGAATGGCTTCCAGCGCTGCCAACTTTGACAGCCCAGGATGAACTGGAAAACGCCTCGATTCTCCGCAACGATGCCGACAATGGTCACTTCCGCGGCCTGCCCGCAAGCCGACAGTCGAAGATGAAGGTACTGGGGAAGGTTCTGTCACGATGGGCAATCACGATGGTCATTATTATTTCGATCTACGTCGTCATATGGACCTACTCCAACAAGACTGTCATGACACAAACAACGAAGCGACAGTACAACGCCCTCATCACCGGTCTCTCGATTGCGCTGGGTCTCGCAGTGGCGAGTAGTCTCAACCACATGGTGGCCGAGCTGAGATGGTGGATCCTAAGCCGTCGGTACAGGTCGAAGAGAAAGGTGGAATTGATCTTGCAGGCCGACAACCTAAAGCACACCATTGCATTGGCAGCGAGGTCAAAAAGGTGGTCGATCCATCTTGCTGCCGTTGGATGGCTCATCTTGACAATCGTAAGGGAGTTTGAGGCCTCGTATGGAGCGATGTCACTAACCGGATCGTCAAGGGCTCTCAAGTAGGTCTCGCAGCAATCGGCCTCTGTTACTCGACAGATACAGCCGATAAGCGGGCTCTATTGGTACCAGGCAATGTGTCTATCGCCAACATGGCGTCCATCGAAACTGAGAAGGTCGTCAAGTCCAAGACTCAAGCTCTAGGTGCTCTACAGTACACAGCGAACAGGTCGGTCTTGTTTAGAGTCCCAAGATCCTCCATATCTACGAACTGACAGCTGACAATTTCCAAGCTACGGAACCATTTCTCTAGCTTACGACACGGCGGAAATATCAGCTGCCCCATTAGCCAGAGCGATCCACGTCCCGAGTGATCCCCTGATGTTCTGCACAGATACGGTGTGCAAATATGTCTTTTACGAAACCTCCACAGCCTCCATCAAGGATCCTGACGCCAACCCAGTCACCGTCGCAACAGACCGGAGCGTCAACTCCACGGCGAAATGCACAGCCTGGCCCGTCATAGGCGGCGGCAACGGCACGACTACCAACGTGACGGTAGCACTCGAAAACAACCGATCCTGGGATATCTTCATCCCGAACAGAGGCGGAACCGACCAGACGACCTTCATGACCTACAGCCAGTTCGACTGCGGGACAGGATGCTCCATGGTCATGGCATTCGAGGCATCGGATACCTCACCTTGGTACTACAGCTGCAATGTGACAATCGGTCAAGTCGCGAACGCCACCCGTGCCGAGCACCAGATCGGCGCCAACCTCACGTCTTTGGCCTCAGCCGGCATCGCTCTACAAGGATACGCTGCCTCGTCTTTCGTCAATGATACCAATTTTCAGTATCAGATGTATCCGTCCGAGTCGGTGTTTGGCACACCTATGAATGGGACAACCTCGGATATGGAGGCAATGCTATCGCGGTTTGCTATCGGGGTGGTCGCAATCAGCGCTGACAGTAATACGAATCTTGTTATCGAGGGGACCATGCCTATGAAGGGCACGAAGCTCAACGTCTCACACTGGGGGATGATCAACCTGATTTTGATCCTTACGGCCTCACTTCAGCTTGTTCTCGGCATTGTGGCTGCATTGGTGGCCAACCGGGTCGTGGTGCCCGATGGTGGTGCGGTTGAAATGGCACAGGTGATGAGGACGATGGCGATTCGGGATCGGACGACGAGCGCGCCCAGTGAGAAAGGGTTCACTGGTGAGCCACGGTATAAGTCATTATGGATCTATCGCGATACTCTGGTGTCCAAGGAAGGAGGGCTGTACGACCTGCATATGGAGGAGCGGCGATATCATGCGACAAGTGACTCTGGGATGATTGAGATGAGCCAACAGCGGCCAGGGACGGGCCGTGAGTCTACTGCGCCGTCAACGCCGACGAAGTGACCGGCGAAGTGATGGATGCTTGTGCTTTGATAGTAATCAACGTGGGGTCAACTCATTACTGTCACCAGTTCGTCAGCCCGCTGCTCTGAATTATCCAGATTTATGCAACGTATGCACTGTCATCGGCACTATTGTGCAACACAGTCAAAGCACGGCCAACATCGGCCTAAGCCGGCTCGGTGCGGGACCGGAGGTCTTGAAGGATCTATTCCATTCCCATCCCGGAGTAACCCGGCGCCCACGGTGGCAGACACGGATGCGCGGAGCAACCCCGAGAATGAGACATTTTGCTCATGTTCTATTACGTATCCAAAGCATGTTTTGTGGGTAGCTATTCGGCACACCCTATTAAGGGATTCGAGCGAGTGATCCTGTTGGGAAATCCTCTGACGAATTGCGGCTCCGTGGTCAGGTCCGTTTGATTTCTTGGGGCAG